TCGAGTGCATGTGTGTGTATTTCTGGCTCGCATGCCTTCTTGCATGCCTACATGTCTCGTTCATGGCCCTCTTCCAGCTAGTCAGACAGACAGTCTGTTGCAGAAAGCGAGTCGGCAGCTATTCCCATCCTGGTTAACCACCGTTACACTCCTCCTTCTCACGACAGAACAGAACGCTTGTGCTAAGAGAGACTTGTCCTCAAACCTGTGAGCCTTTAAAAAAAATCATCTTTAAAATTCTAAAAACATCTCTGCTGGTGGACTCTCTCCTGGACAAATCTATATTTTGTATTTTATGTATGAACAACATATAGATCTAGCAGCGGCAGTAAAGTGAAGCTCCTTGTGCCTCCTGTATTTCCAACGGGTTGTGTAAAACATATTCTCAAATAGATTTGTGGCAGCAACACCTGAAGTGTTGAGATCATGCTTTGAAAGAAGACCGTCCAATTACCTACCCCTCTTTGTCCAATTAGTATTAAAATCCCACTCTTCGTTTTATCAGTGTCACTTCATTTTGGGAGTTAACTGTAAGTTTAGGATAATTTATCTTGGAGGTTCTTCTGCCTGGGTCCACTCCTTTTGTATGTACTTAGATTAGACTAAATGCAACATTTACTTTTTATACAAGAAGGTACAAATTTCCTGTAAAATTACACTTTTAAAAACTTTTACAGATTTTACAGATATCAAAAAGAGATGCGTGAATTGCTGGAATCATAAAAGTTGGACTTTTTCTCCATGTTTTGCTTATTGTTACATAACTACCTCGTTGTTTTAACTTGAAAACCGTGGAGTTGCACACAACTGTGGAGAGAAACGATCAGAGCCTCGTCCACTGTCATTCAGAATAAAATGAATATAATTAAATCATGCGTGAACGTTGAAAAGCAGAGCAGGAAAACATATTGCTACCTTCATTCATTCTTTAAATGATATTCTCTGTTCAGTCATGTATCTGTGCTTGTTTGCGTTGGTTTGTATTCACATGTATTAAAGCACGTGGAGATGTGTTGGAGTTCATACACGTGTGAGCAGAGGTTATCAGTGTCTAAGTTACTCCAGGCCAAAATAACACAATAACAAAACTGCAGGCTGTGTCAAAGACAGAAAGCAAGAGGGAAATATAAATTGCAACAACTCTCAGATCCTTTCCTTGGTTTCTTGTTGCACTTTGAAAGGCTGCATCTTTTTTTTGTGTTCAATAAGTTTTCTGTTGAATTCCAATACAATGGAGGTGAACAGAATTTGTTTGTGTGCTGCTTTACCATTAGAAAATTGATTTTCAGAAATTATGCACCAACATTTCTAGACAGAATAATGGAAACTTTATATCAGAACATCCACCATTTGAAAGTACTTCCATTTATTGAACACCAAATACGAAAAGGCTTCCAGGTTTGACACCTGATGAACCCTCAGGATGAATACAGGACAATCAATCAAACCCACTGGCACACATAAACACACTCTAAAATAATACCTTCTGTCCCGACTGATTGCTTATCTCTCTGGTCACGTGCCAGGGAAAGTGCTGTCCATATGACCTTTCAACTGAGACAACATGCACACACTTTACACACACACACACACACGCGCACACTTACACACACGCACACCTACACACACACACACCCAGTGTCAAAAAGGACAAACATTCAGTTAATTTGGCCTTGTGAAGTCCAAAATCACGGGGACACACACACATTTATGTACTTGTTATAAAGTACAAATGTTGACCTGTTGTATTTGTTTCATGTTAAAAAATACTGTGATGCTAAATAATTGCCCCAATATAGCTGATTATAAATCCACAATAACACATATATTATCACCTAATGTTGTGTTAGATGTTTTTATCAACTGAACTCCTATTTGCTTTATATGATTTGTGCTCTTACAGCTAATTTTTTGGTAGAAATAAATAAATAATATTAGTCTGGTTCATAATCTGTGTTGTTTTCATCATTACGTCATAACTTCCTATGATGCATCTTCACTGTCAGTTCCCTGGCCTCTCTCCCCCTCACCAATGTCATGATCTACGATATGATCAAGTCTCACATTAATAGTTTATCATTTAGTCATTGTGTGTGTGTGTGTGTGTGTGTTCTTGTGTGTGTGTGTGTGTGTGTGTGTTCTTGTGTGTTCTTGTGTGTGTCCGTCTGATGAATGGGCAAACCCAATATTATTCACTAATTGTAGTCTCACCCACTCATTTCTAATAGCAAAAGTTAAATAAAACACCAAAAACTTAATGGAAATGATCAAAAGTAAATTGTGTGTGTTGAGATACTCTGTGTTGAAGAAGTCATGAAACTTTATGAAAATCAGATTAAATCAAATGTATTTTTCAGAAATAAAACTTTATAATTGGTCAAATTAGACCAACAGAAGGGTGAAGCTTATTATGTAATCTCCTGTCAAAGCAAACAGGTACATTTACACAACATCAACCTGGTCACCTAGTCTTCTTTTCCTTTGTTTTCAAAGAGGAGTTGGTTGTATTTGTTTTTGTTGGAGGGAACATCCGACCAGTTTGGCGGGGTGTGTTCATGCCAACCTGCACGTAATGTCTCTGCTGAGGCTTGTCTTCCCTCCATGTTACCAAACACAACACCAATTATGTATAAATACCTTTTTAATCTCTCCTGTGTCAATCTGTTTGTTCAGCCAGAGTTAAGATGGCTATTGTACTCCTAAAGATTGTCTGGGTTGAATTTTACAAAATTACCGTGCGGCTTTTGCGTCTACTAAACCTGTGCAAATGAGACACACAAAAAAAAAAGATGTGTCATTCTCAAAGCACCTGCAAAAGGTGAATTCTATACGGCCTATATTGCCCAACACGGCCCAAATGGCAAATTTGTGTGTGTGTGGATGTGTGTGATCATTCCTGAGTCTTTTGTGAATCAGAGACAGGGCGGGGCATTGATGCGCAATCCTTTTGTGAATTCACCCCTCTGTGTGTATTTCACATCAATAATATATTACAACATTAATTTTGAGACTTCACCAATAATATTTAATATTTCTCTTAGACTGACGTCAATGTATTGGCTGTTTGCAAGTATTGCAAAAATGCTACAGCAGCCCAATTGACCCAGCTATCAGACAACTCTGTCTATGAGGGATGCCTCAGTGCCTCAGGCTCCATTACTGCTGTTGTAACACAGACACCTTGGCAAGGAACTAAAGGGAGGCCGTATCCTTACAAATACTGTAATTAAGAAGATTATCTGCTGTGTGAGACACACGCCTACAGGTTATTGGGCTATTTGTTACATATCGAAGTCAGATAACTTACAATACCATTTATTGCCACTAATTTCCTCAGTAGACTTGTTATATTTTTGTTATACTTTTTCTTCCCATTAGTTTCACAAGTAACTCGCCTGGAGGACAGTTAAACTAAACAAACTGTGTTGTTAAGTCTTCAGTCTAAACAGTTTATCTTCTTAACATTTTTGGGAAACCATTCAAACATGGCAGTCACCTCTTGCTGGAAATGAACCACTAGCTGGCCTTGTCTAAGCAGATTAGCATCATTGGTAAAACTACTTTTTAATTCACTCAAGGAATGTAAACAGGAAAACAAAACAGGGAAAGGGAAATGAGAAAGAAAGTGAATGCTACAACATACGGATGCAAAGGGAATAAAAAATAGATGGAGGGTTGGAGACAATGTGGATGGTTACAGTGATTCATTGGGAAATTGCAGGTATTAAAGGAATGTATCAGGCACCAGGTGCAGAGTCCAGTTCACGATAAAGCTGCCTTTTGAAGTTGATATTGAATCAGCTTTTCCATCTTCCATAATCAACCCTACAGTGATAACTTGAGGTCTGACTCACCTCTGAAGATCCAACAAACTGTTACAAATCAAAAAATAAGTAATGCATCCACAGTATGCTTTACACAGCAATGATTTATTTAGAAACATAATCAAAACTGAAATGAATCCTCAAAACGTCAAGTATATATTGTATATTATAGATACATCTGCATCGACCTTACAAGTCTGTAGATCAGTTCCTACTACCATTGACATGGTAACTGGGTAAAATACCACTATGAGTGATGAAAATGGCATGTCATGGTATTCTTAACTACTTAGAGTTTTGCCATTTATGTTAAAATAAATACCCAGAAAGCAAAGCCTGAGGTTAAAGAGTTACAAACTAATAAAGCAGGGATTTTCAAGCTTAAGAGGGTCATCCTGGTCCAGCCTGAGGCCTTTCCTTTGTGCATGCCAAAGGAAGGGAGTGAGCATTCTTCCTGCTGACTTTGAATCCATAGACAGCGGCATGAACAATTGAAAAGAGTCAGAGGGAAGAGACTGCTGCAAGCAATTCAGCCTTTTTTCTGCTTTCATTTTATTCCAAATATACAACAAACAGAGGGCTTTGCAATGTTATATCTGTTAAAGTCTATTTTCCACTATGGAGCCCATGACTTTGAGGTTTAATGATTCATTTCAGGGTCCTGCAAATGAAGGGAAATTTGGCAAGTCAGAAATTCTAAACGCATAAGGTAGATTGTGTGTGCAGGACACAAAATTAAGAGAGATTCATACACATGCAAGACTTAATGTCTTGTTAAGGGTTGCTTTACGCCGTTGCTCAGGTAAATAAAGGCTGCACCCTCTGATTAGGTGCGTATAGTATTGATGTAACTCAAATGTTTGTAAAGACAAGACTATAGTTTATATATAGTTTGTTCCTATATGTTTACAAACATCACTTATGTAATAAACCTCTAACAGGTTTGATTACATGAGTCCCAGCTCTAAAAAATCTGTTGTGTTTTGAATAGTTGTACTGGATGTATTTGTTTGATGTGTGGAGCACTAATTGTACTTTTATTTGTTCATTACGTGCACATTGGGAAGGCATTGTGAAAGTAAAAAAAAAAAATTATAAATAATAAAAAAATGTGTAAAGAGCTGATGGAAATAGAGAAAAAAATTAAGAAAATTATCCTTTTGACTTTTATTTCTCAATCATTATTACATGTGTATAATAAACGTTATTACACATTAAGCACTTCCATTAAAACACCTGGAAGTTTTGTCTTGATCATCATACTGAGCAAAAACTTCCAAAACATTCATAACAAAAGGGTCGAAGTCATGAATTATTTTTAAATATAAAAATTTATTTCTGCAAGGGAAATACATCACACACACCTTCAAGTGAAACAAAATGCTGGGGCGAAGACTTTTCTTCATGTTGAGTAAAAATAGATATCCTACTTCCAACCACACATACTGTACACTCATCACAGAATTGCACTTCTTAAAACAGGCAAATAGATACAATCTTCTTCAATCATCTCTTTTCTTGACATACTTGAACCACCAAAATTTCCAAACGTCTTCCTTGTTCGAGACAACCAATCACGTGCAGTCTCTCTTCTGACACATCTGTTGATAGCAACTCAGTTCCACCAGAAACCTCAAACTTACATCTTCCAAACATTTTTCATCAGACAAGTACTATTTACATAGAGGGAAAGAAAGGGTTGCATGACTCAACATTTAAAAATGAAGGCCTTCTGAATCATATTTTATTATTCCTTCGTTTGAAAGTGAAAAGGTTTAGTGTCCATTTTTCATTAGAAATGAATCAATTGTGTTTATTTAGAGAAGCATTGTATTGCCATGCACTCCGTACTTTCCCTTCAATATGAAGGACTTAATCAGCTCCATTTCCACATCTTCAGTTTCAGACATCACATTGAGAGGGACATCGCAATCAGTGCATATTTAACCATTACATCAGGCCCTCAGAAGGGGCTCAACATTTGTAGTGGGCTGTACAAATTGTCTGTATTTTAGTGGGCAGGCACTCTGAGAAGGCACATTAATATTTTACAAAAGAGCAGTATGTGAAAAATGATAATTCTTTTCCCATTTTTTTGTCCTCCAACCACATTTCATTAGGTCTCTCGGGCCTAATGATCATGTTACAACAGGAAGCAGGTCAGTTAAGTACATTACAGGTTTCTGACTGGTTTGTACACTTCCGCTGCTAAAAAAAGCAGAGGTTGTTTGCTTCAGCTTAGTCCTGGCTGAGAACCAGTCTATGCACAGCTGGTTTCCAATGACATTTCATCAAACATTCTGACGTTTTCACCAATAAGGCACGGCGTTACCAATCTGGCCCCAGCTCTGCCAGCCAGGAAAGAGTCCGCTGGACATCCGTGGGCTACCAAACTGATCAAATTCCATCTCCAGTACCTTCACACCCCCGTGTTTGTGCTCTGATGCCTTCCTCTGCTCAACAGAAGTTGGGGGCATGTGAGTGTTCAAGTCCTCTCCGTTACAGCTACCATGCTTGAGAACGTAGTTCTTGCCGTCGTTATTGTCCCAGAAGGTCTGACCCTGGGATTTGAAACTGATGCAGAACTCGACGCGATTCTGTAGTGGGATGTGGAGAGGCAGCTCCAGGACAAATGCAAAGGTGTCAGTATCCTGGCAGCTGTAGATGTTGTTCATGAAGGTGCATTCAACGTCAGTGAAGCTGACCCACGAGTCGAATGTGGCGCGCAACTGCACCGACTTCTCAAACCCCTTGTTCCGGACCTTGATGGTGCCGGTCAACGAGCGCTCCTGCAGCGAGCAGTTCTCCAAACAGACTGAGTTCTGAATCAGGCGGTTTCGGAAATCCAAGTAGTCGGCTGAGGGCTGTTTAAAGTCCAGTGCCAGGTTGCGCATTAAGCTGATCTTAAGATCCATTGTGGCTGTTTCCAGGTCTGCCATGTCAAATTGCAGCTCCTCGCTGATTCCCCTACAACTCTTGTTTTGATATGGCTCATCGTCGAACTTGGAGAAGACATGGATGGCAGTGAGTGACATGCCCTTCGTGTCTGCGAAAACCACCTTCTTCTTGCCGGCCTTGCTGTTGTTCCAGCCCACGCAGCTGCCATCATCCTCAGCTTTCTGCAGGTTGCTGAGACATGGCCGCAATGGTTTGTAGTGCTGCTGGTTGACCCGGTTCTTGGTCCTCTGAAGCTCCTCGTAGGAGCTGAGGAAACCTCGGAGAGGAGGCGGAGAGTGGCTGATGTAGAATCTCATAGCCATGTCCATAGGCATTACTGGACCAGGCATTGCTGATGGACTGAAAGACCTGAGCAAACTGAGGGAGGGAGGGGGAAGAGAAGAGGGGAGATGGTGTGGGAGGTAGGGAGAGAGTTGGTAAGTTGAGAGATAAAGAAAGACAAAGGGGGAAGGATTAGAACAGTGGCTTTACTTTTCTGACTTCAAAAAAAGTTCTGGTTTGATGTAACTTGTCACTTCTGCAATCAGCAAAATCCCCAAACTTTGCAATTTCTGTTTCTGTGAAAAGTCCCCATTTTACAAATAATGCTTCTTTATAATATGCTTATTAAATCTAAACTAGACTTGGGATCTAAATAATGCACACAAAAAACTTTTAAAGACGTTCAATCATCATCATCATCATTATTTTTCAGCATGACGTGCGTCACTTTGCAAAACCAAAACCAAGCGCTTACAGATCCTTACCTTGCAGCACTCATGGAATAAAGAAATAAACAGTTCCAAAAAGAAAGGCACTTTTAAAAGTTTTCTGTCCCTTTGACTGGTAGCAGCATTCCTTAAAATGTCATACTGCCGTCACGCCTCCTTTTCTTCCGCCTCAGTCTTGCTCTTTCTGCCTCAGAGTGTGGGGGTTGTGCTCCGCACTCAGGGATTTCAACTGCCACATAGAGACAATTTGCATATGCTGTCATATGGTACTTCAAACAGCCAATGAAAGGGTTGTGGAATTCCTCGCCAACCAATCAGCCCAAACTTGGCCTGGATGCTGGCCAGCTGATAGGGGAGTGTTGCTTGCATGGGCCTCATAGTTGGGATGCCTCAGGTTGTTGCCTCAGCTGCTATTTGAGAAACATGATGGACCCCTGCTGGTGTAGGAGATGACCTTCACTATAGAGCGCTGCATACACACCTCATGACTGGGATTCTCCATTTCACAGCAGGATTATTTCTGTCCCAGTGACTTTGCTGAAGGCAAAGTGTGATGCATGAAAAATATGATTGCCCTAGTTCCTGAAACAAATAAGCATTTCCTTATATGATGAAATATTCAGATACTTTTCAATGGATTATTTAATTGCCCGAACAATACAGAGAGAAAAGCAGTTTACTTTTAAAATCTATTTTGGAAAAGTGATGCTTTGTAAGCCATATACTGATGTTCCTTTCCACAAAACAAAATTGAGTAACAAAACAAAAATTTCATATTTTAAATGGTATTCATTTTTGTCGAATTCTGCTGGGTCAGCACATTTGGAGACCAACAAAAAAAAGGAAAGAAACACTCGCACACATTTTAATGTCCCAAACCAAACATTATTTAGAAAATGAAAGTCAACAGTGAGATAGCTTTAATTGAAGAAATGTATTTGAAATAGACCACGTTGACACTGATACATTGTGATTTCTGGGATGGGTTTTGTAGTTTTACATAACGAGGGTCATATTGTGATGTATCTGATGGGTTTTTAACACATTAGGCATAAATTAAATAATGAATAATGTCAGTGTGAATTCAAAGGCTTTTCTTCCCCTGCCTTAGTGTAAAAGCGGATCAGACCAAAATATGTGATATGAGAAAGCCCTTTTCCTAATTAGTGGTGTAAGAAATCTTCGATATACTCAGATTAAAACACATGTAAGTTTTAAAGATGTTCAGTAAAACATACTGTATTCATGCCCAAAGATTAAAACCTTTGTATTTAAGAAGTAAAAGTTGAGGGTTTTGGGTTTCCTCTCTTGGTAGCAGTGGTTTTGATGTGTGGTTCCATACTTGTTGACAGGGATGCTATTTTTAACGTTTCATTGATTTTTCAGTGGTCGGTTAAACATTATCCCCAAAAACATCAAATGGAGCAAAGTTGACTTTATTTGGGTGAGGAATGTTTTATCACAACTGACAGAAATGGGTGACCTTAATATCATTTCGCACTGTTAAATCTTAGGTCATCCCAACCGCCTTAAGTTCTTTGATCCTTTGGTAACAGGGCTGAGAGTTAAAAGGCCTGTTTGTGCCTCCTAGAGGCTGTGCTGCTTCAAACCAAAATAACAGCTCTGAAGGGTGCAATGCATCTGTGTGCCTCTGGATTATCTGCAGGGAGACTTTAGACTCAAAGTATCAAACATGCCACTTGTGCATGATCATAAAGACAACAGACTTCTCTGGCTGTACTGAAATCAATCTCAACATGGACTCAGTATTGCATCAGAAAACACATTTCTTTATATAGCAGCATTTACAACCAAGTAAACTCAAAAATGAACAAAAAATGCTGGAAAAATCCAGGTTAACCTTTCAAAACACTGATAACAGGTTTATAAGAATAAAAATTAAAAAGTGAATATTGTTCATGTGGTTTATAAATAGACTTTACTTTAAAGTTGTCATCAGAAATTCAGATATATTTTTACGTATAATATGATAGTTTCAGTGTCTTTTTTTTCGACCACTAGCAAATAAGTTGATGTTATTGATTTTGGTGTTGAGGCTACTGTGGGATTTTGAATATTGGGTGAGCTCTTGTGCTCTCTTTTGGAGCATTTAACATTTCATTTAATCTCTCTTTTTCTATCTTGCAATTCAAACTCAGTGACCTTTACTGGATCACCACTGCTGCCTGTGTACATATCGCTGAATCAGAAATCAAAACATGGATTGGGGGCAATAATGACATTCGTAAAAATATCAACATTTGTATATTTATTTTCTTACAACATTTTTGCATCAAAATAAAACGGGTCGCATTTGTGATCCAACAAAATGTACCACCTATGTTTACACAATAAGTAAATTTATACTCAATATAGGCATACTAATTTGCTTAATGAGTACTAGTACTGACAATATTTCTGTACAGTAGAACATTTTTAATGCTGTCTCAGCATTTTTACCTTTCACTTTGTATGACTAGGGTTGTGTTCATTGAATGCTCTAATGCAGGAAACTCCTTGTCACTCCTGTGCAAATATAACATTGAACTTTCTCCTTTTTTAGTCTGTTTGGAAACACCGGCATTACAACAGAGACCTGACAGATCTGAAGGCAACATGAAGGTTGTGACACTTTTGGTAACAGAGAGAGAGAGCGATTGACAGAGAGACCATGTGACACTCTTGGCCCTTGTGTGATTCGGGCTGCCAGTTGGCACGGTTCCTGTTCACGTAGCAATCACTCGATGGCCTGCAGACAAAAGTACTCAGGAGAAGCTATCATGATTGGCTGACAGCTGTTGCATGACTTAACTTTAGTGCTGTCAACATCGTAAGAGAAATCTATGTTTGAGTCTATTTCCCACAAGTACTTAGGTCCAGCAGAGCAAAGTCTAATATCAAGCATACCTGTGTGATAGCCAGAATAAAAATAGTAAGGATTCCTTCCATGCGTTGATTTAATTCCATCTTCATTTATTCGGGTTAAGGAGAGTAATGGAGATCCAGTCGATGGTCAAGATCAAACTGTATCAGTTAAGTGATTGACAGGATCAACAGTTAAATTTACGGTTAACGCTTTGCAGTCTTCTGAGTACACAAATGAACATGAATACTCCGGCTTTATTTAAAAAAGACAAAACAGGCTGACAGCTGTCTACCGCACAAATTTTCTTTAAAAGCTTGATATGTTGCATTTCTGTATTTTAAGAAGAAACCGGAAATCCTGCGTGCCTTCAACTTTGAAACCAGAGGTTTTTTCCTTTTCCTTTTCTAATTGCTTCTCCGTAATTGTTGTACACATGAAAAGTTTTAGAAGTTGAAACATGTAGATTATTTATTGGAAATGTCTGCCTTAGTATGTAATGTAAATCATGCCCATACCTGCAATACCTTCTTCTCATATTCTAGTTTTGAAATCTGGAGTTTGAGTTGTTTTTTTGTTTTTTTCTTCATCTCTGTACAGAACAGTTGATAGAACATTTAGGTGTTCATCAAGCAACAAAGATGACTGGGATTGAGTTTTCAGTCATGTTGGTGTTGTACTCTGTTTATAATCCACTAAGCATGGGGCTTTCTTGTTGAGGCTCACTTTAAAAGATGGACATAGGAGTACAATAACATATAACACCCTCACCATTTGCTTTGTTGAATGCCTGGATGTGAAGGCCACAGGCTGAGGGGAGTGTTGCCCATGTTCCTCTCCCTGTGAAACAAACCAGCAAGAGAAGCTACTTCATTACTTGAAATGTTTGAGGTCACCTGAAGCAGTTAAGCCTATTTGTAGAGCATGCTATTGATAAATTAACCGCATAACAAACATTGATGAGAGCATTTGCCAACTTTCTTTGTTGGTTAACTCTGTGTCTCAAGAAGAATGTTTGCTGGCAGATACGGTAAAACCAGGATATCTCTTCCCGAGTCATACCATTTCCATGTGCCAAGAAGGAGACCCTATGTGAGACGGATCCTTTCTTTGGTATCAATTGATCCTATTGATGTTAGTATTGGTACTCAAAACAAGAATTAGTATCAGTTTTATTATTACATTGATTGGCTCACCTCTAGCCCTGACAGAAATAGTAATTCCAAAACATTTGGCTTAATTTCACCAGAAACACACAGCTTCTTGAACCAATAACACTAATGAAGATGCCTAAATAGAATGCAACAATTAATTTTCATGGTGACACCTGTTTGATAGGTCAGTAAAACAAAATGAAAACCAAACAAAAAGGGCCGAGTTAAGCTGAATCCATAGACTGTATATAAGAAGTGGACGGAGTCATCGTGACATCACCCATTTGAAGCCTTTAGTTTGACGATTTGGCCGTCACCATCTTGGATTACGGCCATCGCCATCTTGGCTTTTTGCAACCAGTGAATGGAAATTACCATATTTGGACTACAGTGGAGTGATGTAGTGCTGCTGTATACCAGGGGTCACTAATAGGCGGATCGCGGTCCGGATCCGGACCCAGACGCTGTCCTATCCGGACCCGGACGTATAACTGATGGATAATTGAGAATTATACATTTTGGCGGAGCGCTTCTATTTTAACCTGCGCAGCTTTTCTAGCCTTTACGGTTCTCGGTCAGCAGTCCAGGAAACGCACCGACCAATTAGGCTACACAAGTTGTAAATCATCTCACGTGATGCTACTCAGCCAATCGAATATGTGTATTCCAAAATGCATCGTGACTCGAGAGACGGGGAGAGAGAGAGCAGTTGGAGAAGCAGTTTCACACGATGAGTGGACCTCGAAAACGCAGCTTTTAGCAAAGAATGGACGGACTCTTATTTGTTCATTCTTCCTGCTGGCGCTACTAAACCACTCTGCCACATGTGTTCAGATACCGTGGCCGATATTAAACGCACCGATGTGTAACGCCACCACGAGACCAAACATAACTCTTTTGAGCAAACACTCCAGTCTGAACTGAGGGCAAGATGTTGAGATGTGTAGAGATAGTTTATTATAAAGTTGATTGAGACTGTTATGATGTGAAATGGATTTAATAAAACAGAAGAAATAAGTTAACTCCAGCCAAACTCTTTCCTTTTTCATTTTCATTAATTTTTCTAAAATCAAGCACTTTCTTTTAAAATGCAAGTTTTCCAAAAGTTGTCTTTTCTGTGTTTTATTTTTAGATGGAGCCCTTATTTTACTTGAAATGAGAGAACATTTATTTATGTATTTCTATGTATTATTTATAA